AGTTCGACTCAACAACAGGACGCAGGAGGAATCCAGAAGGTTCGTAAATAGTAATCTTGCAAGTAGTTTTACAAGATCTTCCTAACCTAGACGAATTTGTCACATCACCACGATTTTCTTATTTTCGTAATATTTTTTGTTACAGCACTTTTAGAAATATTTAAAGACTTCGCAATTAATTGCCTTGATCGCTAATATTATCATGTTAATTTTAATTTATCTAAAATTAGATGAAAAGTAACGGTGGCTTGGTACTGTAGAAAAATAAATAAATAATTTACACCACAAATCCTTACCGCAAAAAAAAAACAAATATTTGTTAAACATGATCAAAAGGTATATCAGTGGCCTCTCTTGATTTATGGAAAAAAAACTATGGATACTTCAAACCTTAACCCGATAAACATTACTAAAAGGTTCCATACGTTTTTTCGCAAGGTCCACTATATTTTTTTTTTGAATGCTACACTTATCCTTACAAATAACAAAAGACATATTACATAATGGTTTAAAATAAGATTTACATTTTGGTTAAGTACCTACTTATAAATAAAAAAAAACTAAACTTATATCTATGCGTTATGAGTATACAGGTACAAGAAACTATGATTCTAACAGTGACATGATTCTTCCTGCTTTCTTCGAATTTTCTTTATTTCTTTACATCCCTGAAAGTGGACAGGTTTTTTTAGTTGATTTGGAAATTATTGTCTTCTATTATTATATTATAATGAACCATTTATATCTTAGATTTAAGTTGTTCCCTTCTGTCCTAAAAGGTATTTTTTCTAGGGGACAGCAGCGCGGCGTCTCCATATTCGCCCAACTCGCATTCTTCAGTTTGCTGCTGGTGGGTTGTTCGTGATGAGTCGAGTAAATAAAATTTAGGCAACATTTTTGATTTCGTCAATGCGTCGTGAAGAATTAGCTGCCAAATAAGGCCCATATACGACATTACAGGGGTCGAACACGCAGAGAACAACAGCAACAAGAGTCGTTTTTTTTCTACTCCCGTCTGTAAAATACCTAATTACACACCGATCCAGCGTGCGGGAAGCGTCACTTGACCACGTCAGTTTCGTTTCCCACGGATCCGAGCCACTTCGGACATTTCCGGGATTTTACCGCACGGATTTGGAAGCATTCGGATGTTTTCGGAGATATTTCCCACGCTTTTAATTTTGACGTTTGTCAATTCTGACGGTCATGTCAGTGAATGTATTCGTGTTGTTTTGCGAAAATGGACCCAAAAACTAACGGTCGTAGAAAAAGTATAGTATGCAACACATATTTTTCGTGTGTGTATTCTGTGCACCAAGAAGCATTAATTGCACGACAGTTTTTTAACTTTACTTGTTGCGTATTGGTAATGAATTTCGCAAATATTCAAATATATATGTAAATATATGTGAAGCGAGAGATTTAGAGTTTGCTTTTAAGATTTTATCGAGTCGTTATGTGAGATCGGTTCATCGTATTCCGTGTAGTTTCACACGCCTCACTATTTTTTGCATTCAATATTAAGACTTAAGATGTTAATACGCTGGATTTTTAGAGACCTATCGGCTATTGCTTAGCCTTTTCTCGAAGTATCTACCACATAATAACAAGAAACGAGCATTAAATAAATCTTGATTAGAAAAAAAATGTTGGTACTTATACCTTTAAAATTACTTATAAGGGAACATTTTTGAATATTATTACAGGTTTAGCAGACATTTTATAAAAATGCGACCCCCAAATCTCAGATTCAAGGTAAGGATATAAGATTTAATACCATAGATTATGTACCGGAGACATGGTTTCAATACACCTTGAGATTGAATCACTTTGCGTTAGACAGGGATCAAACAGTGAATAGCGATAATTAAAGTTACTGCGTACCAGGGCATTACTCAAATTTGCTTTTAGATCCGCATATGCCACCTTTTTCTACCAAAACGAATTCATTGCTTGAAGAGATAACTAATGTTGCTAAAAACCAGGGCATCACACCATTTTACTTTTAGATAGGCATTGAGTATAAAAATTGAACTGAGGTGGCTTTTACTTGATGAAAATCCATTTATCAAAATAAATAAGAAATAAAAGTTCAGATTTTCACGAAATTATATATTATGACATGACAATTATTTCGACAACACCGTGTCTTTATCAAATCAATAAAAGTTTAGATTTTCACGAAATTATATATTATGATCAACATTTGATAAAGACACGGTGTTGTCGAAACAATTGTCATGTCATAATATATAATTTCGTGAAAATCTGAACTTTTAGTTCTTATTTATTTTGATAAATGGATTTTCATCAAGTAAAAGCCACCTCAGTTCAATTTTTGAAAGAAGCTGAAATTGGTTTCTTGGCTATTTTGCATTGAGTATAGATACCACCCGCCATATACTCAAAGTCGATCGAAAGCTAAACTTGTGTAATGCCCTGGTTCTTAGTCAAATTAATTACTCTTGGGAGAAAAAGGGACTTACAAGTACAGTGTGGCCAATATAACGTAACTTTATATACCTTATCTCAGGATATACAATGTGTAAGAGAAAATCTTAAATACAAATGTCATCTGGTTTGAAACGAAGTTTTATTTTATTATATTTTTGCATATACAGGTCACTCATTGTTTTCTGGGTAAACACAACTTTTTTTTTTCTAATGGAACATCCTATATATTATTACATTTTTGAATTTTACTTAAGTTTTTAGGAAAATTTCATATATAATGTTCTATATCTATGTCTAATGGTTTTTGACATATTTAAGTTTTTATCTCAAATATGTCATTTGTAGGCCCTAAGAAACGTAGTAATTTTTCCTAAAAGGAAATCTTTATTTTTTCATTTGGGTTTAATACCTTGTTGACCAGAACTAATAATATAGGGTGTTCAAAAAGAAATATTAAATACTAAATTAAAAAAACTACCAAAAATCTTTTTTTTTTAAAGTAAACCCTCAAATTTAATAATTTTATCTTATTAACCGTTAAAAATAAAGGTAAATTTGTATAACACTGTCTGTGCTGAAAATGTTTGGTTTGCGAAAGATTGACAAATTAATATTCTTATATGATGATTTTGCTGCGGGTTTCAAGTTGTTAATCTATTCTTAGTTGGCAATGACAGCGTTTAAAATCAATCACATTCCAAAGAAATGTATGAGGCTGGCAGTTATTATTGCAAAATTATCAATAATTTTCTGCCCTAAATTTAATAAAATAAGCCATATTTTTGGTTAAAAAATTATAATATATCAAGGTTAGGCAAATTTTTTTATTAACAACTAATAATAATTACACTTAAAGAACAACTAAGTTGGATTTGAATGGAAACAATAGGTATTATAATAAATTTTCCTCCATGAACCGCCACGCACGTCGTATATATAGTTTCCATTTTATTTAAAGCATCACTTTACACGTTAGATCCGTTGATATCAAGTATTTCTTGCCTTATTTACTCTTTTGGATTCTCCCTATTTTCAGTCCGATTTTGATGAACTTCATTTTTGAGGTTTCCTCATAGAAAGAAATCTAGTGGGGTCAAATAAGGGCTACGAGCCGGCCAAGGTCGTGTCGACCTATCCAAGTTGGAAATCGGTTTTTCATCCAATTAATAAAAGTCTGACGTATGATACGGAGCACTATGTTTAATTTAAATGGAAAATAATTATTTACTTTCAAAGCGTTTTGAATGCTATTTCGACTCACTTCTGGAAGTCACACGAGGCTTGCTTGCCTTTGGGAACTTTCTTCGTTCTCCTCAAAATACAGCAGAATATCTGCAGTAAGGACAGTTTTTAGTTTCTTCCTGGTGTTTTTTAATACTGAACCATTTTGTAGGTCACGCACTATTCTACTAAAAATCTGTTTAGTGGGTAATCTGCTTGCTGGATATAACTGCCGGTACTCCCGAAGCGTCAAAGCTGGACTTTTATTATTGCGAGTAAAGCACTCTGTAAGCGCTCTTCAACAGTGTATGAGCCATATTTTGGACAGTAATAAAAAAAAGTAATGAAATTACATTTTACCGAATATAAGAATATTAATTTGTATTGTCAATCTTTCGAAAACTAAACATTTTTAGCATAGACAATCTTATACAAACTTACCTTTATTTTTAATGGTAAATAAGATACAATTATGAAATTTGGGGGTTTCCATTAAAAAAAAAAAAGATTTTTGGAAGATTTCCTAATTTACTATTTCATCTTATTTTCTGAACACCCTGTATTATTAGTTATCAAAATATTGTAAAAATTCTGTTTAAGTGGCATCTTGTCAACAAGGTATTAAACCCAAAATAAAAAATGAAGATTTCCTTTTAGGAAAAATTGGTTTTTTCTTAAGGCCTGCAAATGACATATTTGAGATAAAAACTTAAATATGTCAAACACCATTAGACATAGGTATAGAACATTATATATGAAATTTTTCTAGAAACTTGAGTAGAATCCAAAAATGTGATAATACACAGGATGTTCCATTTAAAAAACATGAAGTTGTGTTTACCCGGGCAACACTAAGTGCTCTGTGTATGCAAAAATATAATAAAATAAAACTTCGTTTCAAACCAGATTTTTTCGTACAGCCTGTATATTTTGAGATAAGGTATGTAGGGTTACGTTATATTGGTCACCACGTATACTAAACGCTAAAAACAAATAAAACCGGAGAGCAATGAAGAAAAAATAGCCCACTCGCGGGTTTACAAGGAAGACCCCCTACGGCATCCGAAGATAAACAGAACGCGTGCCTCGTTCGAGCGAGTTCGCGTTTATACCGTAATGCGCATTAAGTCTTACGAAGCGTTTTTCTAAGCCTTTAGGCGAATACCGATTTTCTCCGGAGCAGCGGTGTTTACGCGACGTCTCTCCGTTAAATTTATTATCGGGATTTCGTTGCGGGGGGCGAATCGTCGCGATAATAACCGCAACTTCCCTGGTCTCCTCTTCCTCCTCCTCCTCCACTTCTCTCTGTTTATTCTTAAACTTACCGCCTTGTCTCCGAGCTGTTCCACTCTGCAATGCAGGAACGCCGTCTGACCTACTGCCGTTGTCACATTCCGTGGCACGTTGAATTCGAAGTACGGGAAGCCGCCGCCAACGATGCTGTTGCTCTCCACGAAAGCTTCCGCTACACCTGTAGAAGATAAGATTTTCGGTTTTAATGAATAATTGAGCAAATATCATCGCGATCGATACATTTGGTCAGCGCCTCATTTCGGGTCGTCTAAAACCTGATTGTTGCATAAAATGTCTTATATAAAGTCCAGAAGACGCTCTGATTGTAGGAGAAGTCCTCCAAGTCTATAATTTTGAAGTTTATTTTTGACAGATTTGATGGCCGGCAAATCATTTAACCAATCAATTATGAATAATTTTATAGGATTGACACAATATTTTAGGAGAGTCCATTTGAATCCAGACATCCCCACTTTTTACATAAAATGTGAAGGGAGAGATTTAGGGTATGTTTTTAAGATTTTATCGAGTGGTTATATGAGATTAGTTAAAAATAAAAAAAAAGAAATCAAACTTCATTGAAATTTGAATCTAATTATGAATAGTTCCTTTATTTCGATTTTTTTTTTCACTTATAAGAATATGTTCAGAGATTACCATGGGTCTCTGAAGTCTTTGAACCCCATTGGGATCGCAGAAATTTACGATCAGTAAAGTTAGGCGGTGAGGAATGGGTCCCTTTTTTAATTTTAGTCTTTACTATGAAAATTGCATTCTTTATACTGTGTGAGCAACACATGTATGAAAAGTCTAGATGGAATTTTTTTAAAATAACTAGTTTTTAGATTTATTTTTTATCGTCAAATGGCAAAATTCAATTTTTCTGAAATTGCCAAGGAAAATCTAGTTAAAAAAAAACAATTAAATAATTCTTATCAAGCACATCGTTTCATGTTTTTTCAGAACATGCCGAAAAAATTTGCACACTTTTTCAAAAATACGCGTTTTTGACTATCCGATGTTTATAAGATTAATTAATCAACTAATTATTGGAAATATTTGAACTATCGAATCCTGAGCTCAAAATACTTAAATTTGCCCCAATTAATTTGAATACAGTGTTTGCAGAAACACATTTTCTGAATTTCTCCTGCGTCGGGTGTTGACTTTGTCGCATCAAACATGCTGCTGACTTCTTTAAAAAATTCAATAAAATTTGTTTCTTGATAGATTCCTGTTTATATACGCATGAATTGAAACTTAGGAATTCAAACTGCCAAGTTTTTCGGAAACTTCACAATTATGCGGCATTTTTGCTATCGTCTTTTTCAGTCCATATCACTATTGTTAAAAAAATATTTGTGATTGTATGGGTAATATTTCATAAGGAATACTTGACAAGAATAGGTCAAAATGTTAAAGTACGGAGCAAAAATAATTTATAAATTGTTCAATGTAAATGAATAAGAAGTCCTTTTTTATGTAAGTGGAAGACGTTAAATCTTTTTATTTCTTTTTCTTTCTTTTTTTTTCTTCTTTGTTTCTAAAGCCATGTGCGTAATTTTCACAGGTAGAACTCTCAATAAAAAAAAACAACTTAAAAAAAATAACTTTATTGACTACCCGATAGCAATACTCTCAGGGGTCACCAGAACGAGCCGAGTATGTATGGCTTTATCTTCAGGGTAGCAGTTAGGGACCCAAAGGTAAATTATACAGGATTTAGAGAGATGAACGTCCTAGGACAAGCCCTTAGACAGATCAGCCCAGAGAGTACTCACTCACCTTTCGAGTTAGTTATTTTAGATAAGCTCGTTTGAAATATATTACAACAAATATAATTATAAACCCTGTTTGGAACTATACAGCCAACTTTATTCAGTTGGTAATAATGAATCACCCCGTGTATGGATATTTTGCTTTTAAATCATGGATTATCTACTAAAGTCTGACGACATAATTGAAAAACAACTTGCATAGTTATTAATTTGATATGAATTAAGGAAAGACCCGGGCAAGCTGTAAGAATGAAATATGGCCGAACAGGTTCGTACTTTGCTTAGAATTTAATTATTTGGGATTTTGTTAGGAAAGATACTAAACAATATTTATTTATTTATGTATGTATTTATGTTTAAATCTAAAATAAAATTACAAATGTTTATTACCTACTTAAATTACTTAAAATTATTCACATACTATATCAATATCACTACCGCTATCATCGCCTGTTCTAATTATTATTTGTTCTATATTATTTGCAAATATGGATTGTTCTGCTCTTTCTATATGTTTAACAGAATTTGCCCAACTTTGTGGAGGGATGTTAAAAACTTCGGTTTCTATAAGTTTGAGTTTGACGGGGAAAAACATTATTACGACGAATGGCAGATTTCAGTTGGTGCCAGACATGTTCAATGGTATTAAACATACAGGTTCAAGCTTTGTAGAACCTCAATTAATTGCTTTTGTGTCACATGAGGAAGGGGTTTTAGTCAACCGTCTACTGTGATAACTTGCATTGTCCATTACAATGACGCTATTAGGAGGAATGTTTGGAACTAGTTTGTTTTTAAACCAACTTTAAAATAAATTAGCGGTGTTGTCTTCATGGTAATCCAGAGAAGAATGTTTAATATTTTTCACAGACAGAGAAAGTCCATTGGAAATCCAAGCATCTTTAGAGCCAGCATGCAAATCATTTATTCTTTTACCTCTTTTTTGGTGGAGCGTTTGTTTTACATTTATCAGTTGAGTCAATCCAACCCTTTTCCAGGGTATCATAAGTGTCGAACCAGGTTTCATCCAAGTAAATAATTGGCCTTTATTGTTCTCTGAATACCCTAATTTTTTCGGGATATTTCAGTCGCCATTTCCGAATTCTAAAAGATACGCCGTATTATATCTTGATCACTTTCATCTACACTCGAGAAAATTTCATCTTCCATACAGTTGATGTTGGAATTTTCGTCAATGTGGCCGTTTCTTCTAAAGATGCTTGCTTGCTGGAACCACGTTCAATGAGAGTCAAATAAACATACTCACACATATATTGTATAATTCGCACACGATTCAACACACGCTGTATTACACACGAAATAAGGATGATTACTAATAAACTTAAACTAAGTGATATACCAAACCAAAGAATATTAAACACAAGTAGCGATAAAATTATTTTCTATTACGGACTACAATTTTGGCTGAATTTAAATTTCGAAACTTTAGGTAACAATCTTGTTGCATTGTATGTTAATGACCACCCTTGGATAATCCCATTCGAAAGCAATTGGTCACTTTCTTATATCTATGAACAGACTATAGCAGCCCTAATTCTCCCGCCTTCGCCCAACTGGTTGAAGTGAAATTCGCAACGGAATCTGATTACGTATCGGTAATTGTCGGTCTGGAAAGCGCATCCGGAAAATCGTCAAAACGAACGAACGATCTGCAGGCTTTCGAGCGAGTCGGATTTTGTTCGACGCCTAATGGAATTTCATTACGTATTGGTCTGGTCGATCGCGTATTCGAATTTGCATAATTCGGCATTAAGTTTACTTTGTTCCGCGTCTAGTAATCAAATTGCTGGACGCTTTTGCCGTATCTCAGAACATAAAAAAATCGATAGCGACTTATCACGACGACGTTAAGTTGTTGTCGTTTTTTAAGTGCCACAAAAGGCGAAGCCCTAAAATTCGAAATTTTAATTCAATTAACAATGAACAAAAGCGGGTGCCGCTCCTTCGCGACGGAGTGTTAGAAACCACAAAACAGCCCGTTGTTTCCGTTACAAAACCCCAATTTAATTGAATCGCCCTCGCCCCCGAATTGAGATAATAAATATTGTCTCGTTCGGGTGGGCCCGGTCTTTCTTCTCTCGACGAGAGATCATCGCGACGACCGGCTTCGCGGTCGATATTCGTCCGCGATGTCGTTCTCTTTTTTAAAAAAGTTCTCTTCACGTTAATTGCCGCATTTCGTAGGGTTTTGTCTATAAATGGTGTTCGTTTTGACAACAAGCTAAGACTTTTTACAAATTGGAATATTCTTTTTGCTTATTATTAAATCACGAAAAAATATAAACATGTATAAAAAAACTGTCACAATTGTTTGAAGGAAAACTTGAAACAAAACAACAATATTTTGTTAGACATTACCAATGGCTTGAATTTTGAGCTTTCTCAATTCTGACGGTTATGTCACTCAGTGGACGTATTCGTTTTACAGTGCAAAAATGTACCCACATACTAAGGCAAATACTAATGATCGTAGAAAAGGCACTTTTGATAATAGTATATCATGCAGCAAGTGGTAAATGGTATATTATGCGTTTTCTACGGCCGTTAGATTTTGGGTACATTTTTAGAAAATAACACCAATGCATTCACTGATATGACCGTCAGAATAATTGACAAACGTTAAGATTCAAGGGTTAAGTCAAAAATATCCGATTGCTCCCCAACCCGCGCGGTAATATCCTGAAACTGAAGCGGTATTTTATAGAGGGGAGTAGAAAAACTTTTTATTTACCTACCTAATTACACTAGCTTACGAGAAGTATCATTTTACCACGCCAGTTTCGTTCCTTACGGATCCAAGCCACTTTGGACATTTCCGGGACATTACCGCACGGATTTGGGAGAAATTGTAGTAGAAAAAGAATAGTATACCATTTACCACACTTACATAACATACTAGTATCAAACATATCTTTTCTACCTTCTTTCTTTGGGTCAGAATTGAGAATGATCAAAATTCAAGCAGTTTAATCGGGTCGAATCTAGTTTTCTCGGAAACTAAACAAAACTAGCGGTCGTAGAAACAGTATAGTAGGGAACACGTTTGGTAAACTTAGTAGGTCACTCGTGACTTAAATGCCGTTTACCACACTTGTTTTATAATATACAATACCACACTTGTTGTATAGTATGCTGTTATAGTTTACAATATTAATTAAACATACATTTTAATTATACTGGACATAGTGGATTTATGTTCTTTAACTATTATTTTACTAAATATAGTTGAATACTGATTATAGTTTATAGACCGGCAGTCTTCTAAATGAATTTGTTAGACGATAAAAATTATTATTACTACTCACACCTTATCTCAAATTATAGTTTACAAATTATAAAAAGATGCTGTGAACAATGTTATAGCAAGTAATAGAAAGTT